GTGACACTTCTCTAATCCTTTGGTTTAGAGTATACCCTTCTCCTCTCTGCTCTTTTGCACTTTGTTTGGGCTCCAATTTTGCATTTAGTTAGTTTTGCACTAAATTATATTTTATGTATCTGTTTATATGTTCACCTTCATCACATGAGGGCAAGTTACATAAAAATTTGCATAATTCTTCACTTATATTATGTTTTCCTGTTCCTTATGTCAGATACTCACAGAATTTTCTGAATATGATAGTTGCTCAATAATTATATTTTTAAAGAACATCTTATTAAATGTGATGCATATAAATCAACGTATTGCTGTTTATTTAGCATGCCTAAGGTTGTTCAAACTCGATTAATAGGTAACAAACCATGTGAAAACACCAGTCACAACAAACTCTATACAATGAAAGTTGACAAATATATATGGACCACAAAGTTCATATCACTGTACTGATGAAACAAATACAGATGAGAAAGATGTAGTCTATTTTCTCAGGGAACTAACAACCTAGGGTTAGACAGGTATTTAATTAACCCTAATGCTTGTTGAACAGTTGTACTAAGTGCTGAAGCAATAAGCGTTAGCTATTTAAACTGAGGAGCAATGACTGTTGGCAAGAAATAATAAAATATTTCATTAAAATTATGATGTTATCTGAACATGAGTTTCAATAGGAAAGTATAATTTTAATGGGTGAGCTGGAGTTGTGGAAACATCCTAAGACAGACATTAGCATAAAATTTAGAGGCAGGACAAATGTTGGCTGCTTTCAAAAACAGTGAATACAATAATTTATCAAGAACTTAGTCAGATCCTGCAGGGGTAATGGGACTTAAAACTGGATTCACAGGTAAGACCATTGAAGAGATTCTTGAGTGTGTATTACAGGTTTATGTAATATATATTGTTATACATATGTTAATATAGTACATTATATTACATGATTAACATATTAATATGGTATATATTATATACATTACATATCAGAATGTTATAAAATAGTGAATATGATTGAGGCTTTACTTAATAAGTTTAATTTTGAAGGATAAAAGAAGAAAGGGATAGGAGATAAGAACAGACAGAACTTTATTATAAAATCCCAGGTGTGAAATAACAAATACTTGAATTATGGTGGTTTTAATGTATGTAGAAGAAGATAAGAGTAAATGGATTGGGAGGGTAGACTGTGGAAACAGTTAAATATATGTTGGAACTGCCTGAATAAAGAGAGTTATAACAAATTCAAAGACAAGCGCATTTTCATGTAGGAGAGAATAGTGTCACTTTAGGAGAAATAACCTCTCTGGGCTTATCTGCAGTGGTATATAACTTCCAGTATTATTTTGCTGATATATATGTATTTAGTACAGTTCCTTGAGGTTTAAGGTACTCAGTAAATAATAGCTATTGTTATTGTTAAATGATTAACAGAATGACCAAGTAAGGAAAATAACATTTTACTCTAAAATGTTCATTGTTTTGTTTATAACAAAAATTCAAATGCTACAAAAATAGTATATATACTTGCAAACACCTGAGACAACCAATAATGACAGGTTTGTATTTATATATAAAATTTGTCTTCTAACCTCATAATAATGTATTATCATTATTTGTACTTGTACAAAATTAGGATCATACTATTCAACTTCTTTCTTTTTGTAAAGTTGACTGTTTGGAGTCCTTTCCCAATATAGTTGTCTGACATTCCGTTTCAGAATGCTACTTATTTCATTGCATCCCTGTGCCATAGAGATTCTAAGGCACCCTTGGGAAAACTAGGCAGAGATTCAGGTCTAACAGTGCATATGGTTCATTTGTATTTATTAGAAAAAATTGATCCCAGTAGGTGGTTACAGCCCTGCAGGTATATTTTTTGATTAGCAAACCCTGAACTGAATTTTAGTCTCTCCCCTTAGTCCCATCCTGAACACCTGTGGCAGAGAACAATCCATGGAAGCATCAGCAAAGCTGGGTAGGAATGCCAACCCAGTGTTTAAAATCTGTGCAGCTCAGAAAAGAAAATGAACTTTGAGCCGCAGATTTGGTTGCCTTTCCATACAAGTCATGGTTGAAGCCTTGGATGGATGAGAAATGCATGAGGCCTCCACAGGAGAGATTGTGTAAAGAAAAGGTATTAAGGGAGATAACTCCCAAACCATCTGTGAGAATGGGGTAGGGGAGAAAGGACAAGAGACACAGAGAGACTGAGGGACTCAGATAATGGAATAGACTCTATTAATGTAATGATGATAACCTCTACTATCTTTTAGACTCTGCGTATGCATTTACATATATACTGTTATATGCAGTATGTATCAAGGTAACACTTGCAGTCTGAAGCCCCACAGTTATTTCTCCTTCTGAATGCAGGAAGTGAAATAATTAAGAAAATGTTTGGATAAATCTTTGGCTATCTGAACTGTCATTATCACTACTAGAAATTCAGGAACCAGACAGGTTCTGATAATGTGGCATCCTTACTCTCCAAGCTTACTCTATGAACCCAGGAAACAAACAGATTTGACTTACGAGGGATACTTATACATAGATAATCATTTTAATCTAAAACCTGAAGCATTAAATAAAGTTTTCCTCCAACTCTGGTTCATTTAGTCATTTTCAGGAATTTTTTTCTAATAACTGATTATTTTTGTCTATCTTACATATTTTTATTTGGCTCTTAAGAATGTGCTCTTAATAAGTTTTTCTTTTTTAAATAAGAAAAATTTTCTATTTATTTTCCAAAATACCTTCTTCAATTACTTCTTCTAATATCAAAACTTTATCTAGTATTCCTTTCTAATGCTGCCAATAGCATGAATTTTTCTAAACTGATTTTGTAAGGCTTCTAAATGTATCTTGTTATCATCAGTAAATGATGCTCTACTTACAGAAATTTCTTTTTCAGTTTGCTGTTACTATAGAGAATCAAGAAGCCAAACTGTGTCTTCTGATTTCTTTTAGTATTTCATTATGAAGTAAATAATGGCATTATTATGAAGAGGTGAGTTTTTCCTATGTACTTTCTTTAAAAGTCACTAATAATTTTTTAATGACTTATCATTAGAAAACTAAGAGACTTTTATTTTATTTTATTTTATTGCTGGATCTGTGCCATTCTAAGTAAGAATTCAGGTGAAGCCCCATGGGAATGAATTATAACGGACAACAATGACAAAATATATTGAAGTTAAGAAGTTAATGAGTATACAATTACTCTCCTTTTATTTATATAAATAATTTTTAAAAAGCATTCAGAAAGGCTATAGTATTTTAAGGGTAATTTTAATGATTCAAAATTTATTTAATCTATGTGCAAGCAATCTCTATCACACTGCCTACAGGAGACTATAGTAAGAGTTGAGGACTAAAACTGCATTAAATACAACAGTCTACAATCTTTTCTCCTCTTTCGTTCTCAACTGCTGTTTTCCCTTGGTATGAGCAGCTGGACTATTGAGCTGCCATTTCTGGAGCGGTTTCAGAGCCTCACTTGAATGTATGGAACATTTTCATTCAGCATAAATACTTCAGTCAAGAAGTCCCACTCCACCTTTGTTAATGATGAATAGAAACTTTTTCACTGCCATATCAGGCAAGACTTTCAAATTAGTAGTCACCATCCCTTTCGTTTGTTTACCCTTATCAATAAAGTATTTTTGATTCATCCAAAATAAACATACACACACATAAAAGTCAAAATTAACAATGATAAAATACAAACACTTAATACTTTCTTCTCGTGCATTCTAAGAATGAGCACAGGTATACGCATAGTCTCTCTCATAGAAGGACTGAGTTTCTCTTGTCATTACCCATTATGTCACAGGCTCTTTACTGGGCTCTTCCTTTTGTTTAAACCATCCGGTGCATCTTAAACCACTGTGCCACCATTTATGCTTTTACCACCACTAGCCTTCAATTCACATGGAACTAATTCTTCCTGTAGTTAAATCAATTATTTCTAAAGTTTGAATTCTTAACCTGGAACAAACAAAAGCATATGTAAACTTTCTCAATTGCCTCATCTTATTTTAAGGAACAGAGAGATTGTACTGGGTAAAAGTTTCAGCTTGTTTGAAAAATGTGTGCATTTGTTCATGTCTATAGTATGAATATAAATATTACTTTGTTAAGAATTCATTTATAATACACAATTAATTATATTAAGCTCCCACTTCTTTAGTTATTTACTAAGTAATTCAATAATTACTGAATTATTTTAGTATGTCCATTACTAGTAGTGATATTTATATTACTAGAATAAACTGGAAAAATCACCTTACTAATAAAATGTGTGTGTGTGTGTGTGTGTGTGTGTGTGTGTGTGTGTGAGTCAGAGAGAGAAAAAGAGAGAGAGAGGATATTTTAGTGGCCTACACAGATTAAATTTGTTATATATATTTATAAATTTGTTATATATTCTAATGTCCAAGTTTATTGATGCACTAATAACCAAAAAAGAAAAATCTTCTAAAGAAAATGACTCTTTAAATCTGAGATGATAAATAAAATACTTTTCTTAGAGTCATGAATGAGATAAAAAGAAATGGGTTCAATAACGCCTCTAAACACAGACACCATGCTTTTAGAAGACAAGAATAACAAGGACCTGAGGGAAAATATATTTATATCTCCAAGGAATCAACTTTATTTGTAACATTTTCTAAGTCTACCAGACATTGTACGTGTTTTCCAACTTGGGAGCTGTGTTTTCCTTCCCAGAAGGACTGCATTCTGACTGCAGACCTTCAGAATCCCCAGGGCACTGGCTCACAGGTCACTAGCTTTTCCCAAATTTCCTTTCACCTCTCCCTGGCAGATCTGAACACCAGAAATGAGGACACATGACTGTGGCATCAGTGTCAAGAGGCCTTGTCCAGTGGCATATATAGAATGTAATTTACTTTTTTGTGACAGTTTTGATAAACATGACACACAACACGAGAGATATTATGTTAGCTATATTGCACCTCAAAAGAGGAGAAAGTTTAGTATGTTACCTCCTGATTAGCAGCAGCTAGTTCTTCTTCCAGTGCAGAGACTCTTTCTAAAGAAACCCTCAGTCGTTCCCTTACCTAGAAGAAAAACCGAAATATAATATGTGTCATAACGTACAACCAATGCATGTTAAGCTGTTAATCCACCATTAGTGTTATCAGAGACAGTCACGGTGGGCTATTATTCAACTATTTATAGTCCTAAGTGCTCAGCAATACATTGTCACCTCATAGTTTCACTGTATCAAGAGATTTCCTTGTAAGTCAGTCCTTTTAGTAGCTCAAGGATAGATTTTCCCGTGGAGTTGAAGTAGACTCATCTTGTTCTCAATTCTGATTCATGATAAGTGGAGGCAAAGTTCAAAAGTGTATAATAAATTCATCTGAAAAATGGTCACTGATTAAGCATAAAAAGTAGGCAAGAAAACTTTCTATTTCTCTAAAATAATAAATCAGTTTTCATGTGGCATTTACTAGCTTCAAAACTGATTTTTCCAAGAGGAAGTGATGCTTAGACTCTGAAATACACTGTCAGTGGCTCATACACTCATGTGTATTGATTAGAGGTCTATTGTGTTATGAAGGAATTCAAAAGTACCTCGTTCTGGAATTTCTAGCTAGCTTCCAGGTACCAAAGGTCAAAACTTATATTTTATAGAACTAAAGACTTTGCACATTTAGTTTGGAAACAATTATGATTTACAAATGTTTCATAAACAAAATTCAGTGTTTGTTTTATTTGCTTTCTTAGAACTTCTAAAATTATTGTATTTATTACATGTTCATATATATTCTCTATATTTATTCCATTTATTCAAAAGTATAAATATTTTTATCATGTAAAAGTACTACATTTATAAAAATTTAGAAAATAAATTTTACTGAATTCAAATAAATGACTACAGCAGCTTAATTTTCCTTTAGAAAAAAAAATCAACAAAATTTATAGCTTCAAATTAAGATGTAATTCATGGTGAGTTTTTGAGTATTTATGAATTAACAAAGATTTTTCCATGGGGATGTTATAGTATTTGAATAATCAATATGCATTTTAGTATATAATTATATTTGTAAACTTTAAATTTATTATAATTTTGGTAATTCATTGTGTGTTTTAATGAATGGTATTTTTCTCTTTTTGTAGATTTAATGGAGAATATAAATTAAACATTATATGAAACATATAAAAACATACATAACAATTTTAAGTTGGAGTTATAACATTATTTTCTAATTAGCAAACAAATAAAGGGCACTAGATAAATCCAGAATATAATTTGAAATTCTTTAAAAATATCAATTACATATCTGTACTGTCTAATGATATTTGTTACATATTAAGGTGACTGGGTGCACTTAACTCCTGAAATAATCTTGAGTAATAAGAAATAAGTGTCTGAGTGGAGTTCAACTTTAATTGTATTTCATTATTCTCAAATTCTCCACAAACTGTTAATGTAAATACATAAACGGATATTTGACATCAAAGGCAATTATGCAGATTCTTCCATGACACCCTGGTGTGCTAGACCGACTGCCAGGTACCAGTGCTGCTGGACGAATATCCAACTGTACATTAAAAAACATAAAACGAACTCTTATTAATGACTGAACAAGAGCTACTTGAAAGAACTTTTTAATGGTTTGACTTGGGGAATACTTTTTAATGAACATCTTGGATAGATGCCAAAAAACCAAATCTTCCTATTTCCCCAAGGCAGGTAAATGAGTAGGACTGCTGATATGTGGAATGCAGATATGAATAAAAATGCTAGGAGAGGTGCTCGATATTTAACGAGGATGGTTGTAAAGTTTTATGTGCAATTCCTAAAATACCGACTATTAGGGGTGGGTATTCTGATAAAGGCTTAGAAATCCCAGTTGATGAAAATAGCAATTTGAAATGGTTAAATATAAGTAAAGGATCTCACTACATGCAACACTGGTCAGATCACATTTAGATTGTTGTGAAGGTACCATAGTTTAAAAGATACACTAATGCGCTGGAATGTTTCTAAAAGAGTCATTCAAGTTATATAAGAAATGGCTGAAACCAGGCTATCTTGTAGGTTACAATAGTTTCCTGACTTTCTTTGCTCAGCTAAAAATCATAGAAACTGTTTGAGACGGTCTCCTATTTACCACAAATTAAATATGTATATTTTCATTATATTGAGCCTTTAAGAAAATTGAGTTACCCCTCAATAAATTTATAATAGAATTTACAACTTGAGATTATATCATTCACAAAGTAATGAATCAAGCTGCTTTGACAAGAAAATAAAAAAGTATTCATATATTTGAATTAATATTATAAATATAAAATTGCTGGTGTATTGATATTATGTAATATCAATATGATAGGGATTTTATATGAGAATGCATTTAATTATTTAATAAATTATTCATATATTTTGAATTAATATTATAATATAAAATTGCTGGTGTATTGATATTATGTAAATCAATATAATATGAATTTTTACTCACATTTATATGAGAATGCATTTAATTCATTATGCACTAATTTCAGCTAAACTTAGTAAGAAAAAATGGGTAGGACAAGAGGGTAACTTTTCCATGGTTTAAAGAAACCTTATAGTTTATCCCGTGTTCGTAGCTGGAACTCCACTGACACAGAAAAAAATAGTATCTCTGACCAGCCTTTTAACTTATTGTTCTACTCTGAACATAGCATCAGTGGAATGCCATAATTATCTTTATATTTCTTCTTAGATTTGCTTTCTTCCCCTAAATGTAAGTACACAGTTGACAGTTTTGTCTCGATACTTAATTTTTTTCTGTTTTTTACTATTTAATCATGTTCAATTAATCAATTTTCTGCATAGTCTTTAAGGAATATCGAGTACTTATTTGTATAGCTATAGTGGAACCCCCTCAAATACTTTATGTACATCTAGAATATTTGATATATAATTTTATGTTATATCTATTTTCTTCAAAATTGTATAAAAATAAAGATAAGTAATTTTCTTCCCAAAAGATGTTTCAAGACTACAGAAATTTTATTCCTGGGAATGAAAATATGTCCCTAAACATGACAAATCTGTTTCAGAATGAAAGGAAACTTTCGTGGGATAAGCATATATTTGAAATAAAAATTAAATCATTGACAGGGTTTCATTTTGGAATTTTCAATCTTGTAATAACACCACTTGTGAAAATATCTCTGAACACCAGAAGTTCAAATACAGTTTTGGCATTGTGATATTAGATCACAGGAAAAAGGGGAAGTGTATACATATTTAATATTTTTGCTATAGTTCCCATATATATCTTATATATATTTAAAAAATAGTCAGTGATATCTGAGTGATAGCAAAGCAACATATATTTCTCATTTCTTCCAGCACACAGAACTGGTGCTCTCAAAATTACTGTTGGTCTTAGCTAATTGGGAAACTTCCACCCTACAACTCAGTAGATGTATAAATAAGAGCATCAGCAATGAAGACTGCCAGTCATTGTGTTGTCTGGAACACACTCGGATTTTTTTAACGTATTTAGCTCTTCAGGTGTTCTAAGCCCTGTGTAATTAAGTTGGTAGTTTCTTGCCCTCAAGATATGGCTAACGGCATCTTCATTTGATCTTCTATTTAAATTTAAATATATTATCCATAACTTAAATTAGAATTTATATGTTTTATACTTGTTTCCTCTCCTATTCTTATCCTCATGAGACGCTGTGAACTATTCTTAGGAAACTTATCTATGAAGTTGCTTAGGCACATAGTAATTCCTCAGTGACTAAATGAAATACTATTTAAGACAAGCATGAGAATCAACAGCAATAACAGTATCTTTACATAGTTTAAAAGTTTTGTCAATATTGAAACATGCATGTTAATAGTAATATTCATTAACACTCACTGAGCATTTGACATATACTAAGCTCAGGCTAAGAGCTTTACATGTCAGGTCATACCTAATCCTCATAACAACTCAATGAGGTAGGTGCTATTATTCTCTCCTCATTCAGAAGAAGATGCTTAGAGAAGCCACTCATACACGTCCATCCAAGGTCAGAGCCCAAAGTCGCAAAAGTTTTTCTTTAGGCTGTTCATCATTACTTAGTTGATGATCAGTTCAGTTGCTCCTAAACTCACTGGTATTCAAGGCACCACTGATAAGTAATTATACCTTGTTTCAGCTTCTGTGGCCATAGTAAAAAAATATTTCTTTTAATTATGATATGCTCACTGAACTGATAGCAATTATCTCTACATACTAAGTTGTACAACAACCATTTTCTTCCTAAATGTACTCATATCCATCAGGTTATTTCTCTTAAAAGCTGTTTATTGCTTTTTCTTCATTCCTTCATAAAGGTATTCCTTACTTAAATAGGTGCTCCTAGGGAGCATCCCAAACCGCACATTCTCAAGTACTTTCTTCATTCAAGTCATGTTAAATTTTTTTCTGAACAGGCCATGCTCTTCTCATAGCTCCGGGTTATTTTATATATTGGTCATATTGTTTAGAGTATCTTGATTTCTCTGCTCAAAAAAACCTGACACATTTTTAATACCCAGATCAAATGTCCCCTCTGTGAGTACATCCTTGACTTTCTTGTCACTTTTTCTGTAACTACATATCACATTGTATACCTCTTCTTAGCAGTGCCAGTTATTGAAATGTGAATGTCCAACACTAATTATAAACTCCTCAGCTGTAAGAACAATGTATTATTTATCTTTGTGTGCCAAATGCTTGCCAAGTTATTTGGCACATAACAGATATTCTATAAAGGCTTGAAAAATCTTAACAATGTACTTTTGTAATAAGAAAAGGGATATAGTATAAAACAACATTAAGTATATTAAATGATTATTTGATAAGCCATATTAGTTAATATTATATTTATCAGGAGTCTTTATATAATTTTCATTTGGCTTCATTCAAAACTATAAACTAGTTGCCTCATAGCTAAAATGAAAAATAAAATAATTTCCTCAACAATATGGAAGATAGAATTATAGTTGTCATTATGTACACACTCCACATAATCCCCTACTCAAAGAACAGCTGAAAGACCAATGATAAAAATATACATGCAAATAAATATTAAATAGAGCTACAGTGTCTGCATGTCAAAACCTATCAGTTGGTAATAATCGGTGCTTTGGATTTTAATGCTCGGAGCTTGTCAGATGTTTTACAATGAAGTGACCCAATTCCCACTCTACAAAATCCTAAAGTTGTATTAATTCTAAAATTTTCATTCCTTAAAATTTACAAAATGGAAATCATGTCATAAGCCTTACTAATCTGCAAAGGGTATTACCATCCTATTGGCTTATTTATGTCAGTAAAACATAACTGAAGAACAGCTGAGAGAACTTTATAGCTGTTTTTAAGACCTAAAGCAGGTTTTTCTACTAATACTTTATGCTGTTAACATGCAGAGACTTAAAAATGTGAATTCATAACTCTGATATTAGAGACTAAAAAAATGTTTTGTTCTAATATACACCTTGAGATATGTTTAATTGCTCCTTAATAGTATCCAATGTTGGCATCTATATACACGCATTACAGAGACAGGTAGAGGAAGAGAAAATGAGAGAGAAAGAGAGAGAGAAGCTGAACGACAGCATTAAATTCCAATTTACTATCTGGAATAGGACTATAATGTACCATAATAGAAGTCTAATTTGATAAGCCATAGATTCAGTGATATTACAAAAACATAGGTATGAATATTACCAATATACACACAATAATCCTGTTGCATTTATTAAAAATGACTCTCCTATAACTCAAATGTGTTCCCCTGAGCTGACTGACATCAGGAGTCGTGCACACTGTGGCTGAAGACGAGGAGCACAGCTGCAGCCATCCTCAGCAAAAACAGTTAAGCTGAAAACTTTTGCCGATACTCCACCTTTTTCCATTTAGTAGATAAAATTTTTAATTAGTTTTTCTGAAGTAGAATTGACATATAAAATTGTAAGAACCCTTTTACAATACTGCACCTTTTCATCCAAGGCCTTGTGGTGCTCAAACAAAGATTTCAGTGCCTTGAGAACCTCAACTTCGCTGGAGACTCCCGAGGGGGACTGGGCCTGCCGTTTCACCACCGTCATTCTCAGGGACCTTTCATGCCTGGACACAAGGCACTCCAAATGCTCCAGTAACAGCTGTGGGGTTAACAGAAAATGTGTATGGTATAGATAAATACAAGCCACTAATACTTGTAAGTGACTTCGACCTTAACAGAGTGAAGGTTAAATAATATCTAATGATAACCTCAGATTATAACAAGGTAAGCAGCATAGAAATACAAACCTGTATCTAACCCAATGTTCATAAAATACATTAAAAGTAAATTTCATTTCTATCTTATAACAAGTTACTGAGTTTAAAAATATAGTGTAAATTTTATGCACTCATTTAGAAAATGTAGTCAGTATGAATTCAGTCGAAGTAGAATGCAACATAATATGTGTGATCCAATATGAAAATTATTTAAAAAACATTGTACGATGCATGATCATCTTGTTAACAGTGTTTAAAGCCAAATTAATTTCATTTATATTTGGTTATTTAAAAAATGTTTAATAGAAGGAAATGAGCATAATCATCACCTGGCTTTAAATGTGATTATACTGATAAATAATCACATGCTGCTCTAGTAACTATGGTCATTATCACTAATAATTATATGTTCAATTATTCTTTAATTATGTCATTGAAAAATATATACAATCAACTGGAATACAGTAACTGACATTTGCAATAGTCATTTTGGAAAACAAAGGTTAGAGGACAATTTTTACATCCTTTTTATTTTTCAGTGAAGGTTGAAATATGATATTATATTAGTTTTAGTGTACATCATTTTTAAATTAAGTAGTCTAGAACCTGCATTTACCCAGAGTAGTCACGGGGGCTGATTTAGGCCAGGAATAGATAGAAGCCCAGTGAATAGTGTTCAATTATGTTCCAGACTCTATGTTCTGGCCTTCCTGGAGAAATTTTGCCTTGAAATGTTTCGTGACTTGGGATTCACTTTTGTTTTGTTTTATAAGAGATCTGCCACTAAAAAGAAAGACACATATAAAGAAAATAATAATAATAAAACTACTGGGTTATCAGTATTAAAATGTTACTACAGAAGAGCAATACATGACCAGTCTGTTTTGTAGGAGAGCTTTTCAGAAGGATGGTGGAATCACAGTCTAACAAATGGTGTTTATGCAAAAAAAAAAAAAAAAAAAAAAAGGCAGAAATTACTCAAACAAGAAGAAAAAGCAAATGTAAGATACCAGGGTGGAAAGAAATAAAGAGAACAATATATTTTTCAGGATTTTTTCCTAAAGCTTACGCTGTAATGAAAAAAATTTTTAGAAGATTTTATTTATTTTTAGAAATATGGGAAGGGAGGAAGAAAGAGAAGGTGAGAATCAAAGGGAAGGTGATATGTGAGAGAAACATCAACGGGCTGCCTCTCACACACCCTCAACCAGGACCTGGCCTGTACCCACGCACGTGCCCTGACCTGGAATTGAACCAACAATTTTTTACTTTGCAGGACAATGCCCAATTAACTGAGCCATGCCAGCCAGGGCTGTGATGAAAACTTTTGGTTTTTACAATGTCACTATTAGATTTAGTGTCACGTATTAGTATTACATTCCTTAGTGCTTAGTAAGTTAATTTCTCTACATTTAGTGTTTCTAATTATGGTTCAAAGTGTCAGAAAACTTGGCCATGACATTAATACAAAAGAACACAAATGCCTGAGATTTTATTATTATATAGATCAGTAGAGAAAAGTCATAATTAAGGGTCAAAATGGTAATAGAAATCCCATATGAAGATGATACAATTATTAACATTTCAAGGAGTTTTCCTTTTATTCATCAACCTCTAATTTTATTCATGGTTTTCTCCTCTTGAATTATATAAATACATGCCTGTGTTGGTCAAATCCAAGCTGTTTCATGTCAGTTATGTGGAATTATATGAACTTACTCTATTTTTCTAGCATCATTCGGTGTGCATCTTTTTCTGACAAAGTATGCTCTGACCACACCAGCCTACTTTTGGTTCCTCGACATGCCAAGCCTTTGGACATGCTGAATCCTCTGCCTGGAATTCTCTGCCTTTGCTCCTCAGTTGGCCAGCTTTTCTCATTCTTTAATCTCAGTTTAAACATCAACCTCTCAGAGAAGCTTTTGCTCACTACTCTATGTAAAGTAGGTCTCTCCTCTTCCCAGCCTTTGTAATTCTCTACTTGATTCCTCTTGCTTCATTTCTTCATAACATATCATGTGTAATTTCTTAAGAACAGTTTCACTAAATCTTTTTCTGTTTCCTCACTGAAATATAAACTTTATGAGGGTAGGTACCATTTCTGTCATGATCATTTTGATAATTGTATTTGAATATTGGCTTAGTTCCTGGAATCTACAGATGTGCAATAAATATTTGTTAGGTTGATGCATGTCAGTATTACTATTGTTTAGACTTTTAATATGGAAAAGCATATGATAAAAGTTGGATTGTAGTTTCTACTCGACACTTGTGGTTGCCCCCAATTTTTTAAACATGCCTACCATACTTAATAATTTCCCACATTCTGAATGCTATTGTCTAGTAATATAGGATCCAAGAAACATTTCTCAGTCATCTTTGCCACTAGATGGCAGATACGTGACTTAAGAGTCAGCCAACCAGAACCACACGCACAGGACAGATTCTGAGGTGGTCAAATGAGGAAACACGCTGGGTATGGGGTGTCCATCTATTTTACAGGCACAGGAAGTAGCAGAGGCTACATATTACTGGGACTGGGGATGTGGGAAACACTCACAAGATCAAGAAATGTGGTCCTAGCATTGTGCGTGGAAGCTCAGTTTAGAGATTTCTTATACACCTTAATTAATATTTTGATGAAAACAGCTAAGCTGTACTGTTATGTGCAACTTGGAATGCTCACCTATACACACAAAACCAAATGTATTTCATTAATATAAAACAGACTCCTTAAAGGATTAATTTAACTTATCTTGACTACTCTTCAATACCTAAGAAAAAATTCCATATAATATATACTTAGTACTTAAGAACCTAACTTAATGAGAAATGTAAATTAGCTGGGAGCACGTGGCTTAAAATTTATACTGCAGCAGGTATCTGTGGCTTTTAAGCCTACAAATGAAAATAAATGAAAAATAAAGTGAAAATCATCTAAGATAACACTAACAATCTGCTAAATGTATTTTTTTCTGAGAGCTACACTTTAGTCTAATTTAAACCCTGCAGAGGTTCACTCAAAAAATTGCAGGGAATTTATAAATGGTGACTAATCTTATGTTGGAATTCCCTTGAAATACCATCAATATATGTACACAAAGAAACATACACTATACAGGCATACAGACATATGGCATCACTGGAAATTTTTGAACTAAATTTCTTTTTACAAATAATCTTTTTAAAAAGTACATTGTATTGATTATGCTATTACAGTTGTCTTATTTTTTTCTCCCCTTTTTCTCTCTGCCCTGTAACCCCCTTCACCAGCATTCCCCTCCCCTTAATTCATGTCCATGGGTTGTACATATAAGTTCTTTGGCTTCTCCATTTTCTATACTATTCTTAACCTCCCCCTGTCTATTTTATGTCTGCCAATTATACTTAATCCCTGTACCTTTCCCCCCATTCTTCCCCTCTTCCTCCCTATGATAACCCTTCATGAGATCTCCATTTCTATGATTTTATTCCATTCTAGTTGTTTGCTTAGTTTGTTTTTGTTTAGGTTTAGTTGTTGATAGTTGTGAGTATGCTATCATTTTACTGTTCATATTTTTTATCTTCTTTTTCTTAGATAAGTCCCTTTAACATTTCATATAATAAGAACTGGTGATAAAGAACTCCTTTCACTTGACCTTATCTGGGAAGCACTTTATCTGCCCTTACATTCTAAAGCTTTGATGGAAAGAGTAATCCTCCATATAGGTCTTTGCCTTTCATAACTTTGAATACTTCCTTCCAGCTTCTTCTTACCTAAAAGATTTCTTTTGAGAAATCAGCTCATAGTCTTTTGGGAACTCCTTTGTAGGTATCTTTCTTTTTTTTCTGTTGCTGCTTTTACGATTCTCTATTTTAATCTTGGGCAATGTAATTATGATGTGCCTTGGTGTGTGTTTTCTTGGGTCCAACTTCTTTGGGACTCTCTGAGCTTCCTGGACTTCCTGGAACTCTATTTCCTTTGCCAGATTGGGAAAGATGTCCTTCATTATTTTTTTAAATAAGTTTTCAATTTCTTGCTCTCCTTCTTCTTTTTCTGGTACCCCTCTGATTCAGATATGGAACATTTAAAGTTGTCCCTGAGGTCCCTAAGCTTCTCCTAATTGTTTTGAATTCTTGTTTCTTCATTCTGTTCTGGTTGAATGTTTATTTCTTCCTTGTGGTCCAAACTATTGATTTGAGTGCCAGTTTCCTTCCCTTCACTGTCAGTTCCCTGTGTATTTTTCTTTATTTCACTTTTCATAGCCTTCACTTCTTCCTCTATTTTGTGACTATACTCTACCATTTCTGTGAGCATCCTGATTACCAGTGTTCTGAACTCTGCATCTGATAGGTTGACTATCTCTTTGTTGCTTAGTTCTTTTTCTGGAGCTTTGATCTGTTCATTTTGGCCTTTTTTTTTTTTTTTTGTCTCAGTGTACCTGTTACATAATAAGGGGTGGAGCCTTAGGTGTTTACCAGGGTGGGACAACCTACCTCACTGCATCGCGGTGCTGTATGTGGGGGAGGGGTCAGAGAGGGAACAAAGCCTCTTGCTCAGCTCTGGGCGGCTTTCAGTCACTTCCACCCACAAGCAATTTGGGCCCTTCAGGTGCTGATTCCCACGTGGGTGGGTTTGTGTACATTCTAGGACCCTTTGGGTCTCTCTAATGAACTCTCTAGTGAGGCTGGGAGTTTCTCCTGCCACCTCAACACCCACAGGTTTTTTTCAGTCAGAGATTTGAGGCTTTATTTCCCTGCACTGGAACCCTGAGTTCTGCAGTCTGTATCACTCCCCAGTTGTTCCTCCTGATTTAGCTGCACACAAATGTGGGACCACCCAGTCCTCCAGCCTCCACCTCACCCTCCTTGGTCCACCGTCTGCCACCTAGCCACTTGTCCT